TATATGAGATTTTAAAGGTATAGACTTTCGAATTTATTGTTATTTTTTTTTTTAATGAAACGTTTTTACTAATGGTTTCATTTTTTTCTTTTGTAGGTCTAAGATATGACCGGATTCCTATTTTAAAGGTATATATATTGATATACCTTCAAATTTACTTTTTTTTATGAAACGTTTTGCTAACATTTCATTTTTTTTCTTGTAGGCCCAAGACGCCCATTTAGAAACTTTGACTTTGACTTTGGCTTTGAATAAAGTTTGGAACCGGTTGCACCAACCGGTTTAAAAATCGGTTCCAACCGATTTTTTGACAATTCGGTTTGACCCGAATTCATATTCTGAAACCGGTTTACGTTTAAAACGGGTGCAACCGGATTTCCAACCCGGTTTGACATTGAAACTTTATAGTGCTGGCCCGAATTACGAATTAAAATCACGTGACCACGGCTAAATAGTTTAGCCACCGGGTAAGTTATGTTACACAAAATTTTATTACAGATAATTGTGTCCCACAAAATTTCGTATTGTGTTACACAAGGGTTGTAATTCCGGCCGGAATTATAACTTGGCCAGATTTATGCCGATCACATTTAATTCTGGCCGGAATTATCAAATATATACGATTCGGTTATTCGGTTTCAATCGGGTTTTGCGAAATCAGTTTGAAACGGATCGAACCGGTTGCATCCGTTTTAAATTTGGTTTTCGAAAATAGAACCGGTTCCAAACTCTAGCTTTGAATTTAGACTCAGAATTTGGATTTAGAATTTTTTCTTGTGGATTTATTCAACTATGGCTTTGGATTCGAATTTTCTTTTTATAGGTTGCTTTGATTCAACTGCTAATTTTATTTTTTGTAAGTTTTTAAAGATGGATTTAGGTTTTATTTTCCTTAGTAGGTGTGGCGAATTTAGCACTGAACTGACTTGAATTTTTTTTATTTTAGACTTGGACTTGGATTTTCTTTAGGTGTGGTGAATTTGGAAGAATTGGACTTGTTTTTTAGAACAGACTTGAACTTAATTTCGACTGGACCATTCTTCGGGAAGTATGAATTTGGGGTAATTTTATTTAAGAAACATTTTATTAATTTTCTTTCTCTTGACATTTTTGCAGGTTCCAGTCAGATTTCTTCTTTTTGAATATGAGAAGTATGGTTGTTAGGGTTTATGATTGTTAGGGTTAATTAGCTTAGAATAGGAACTTTATTATTACTTAATGGCTTATTTTACAACTTCGAAAATAAAATTTTACTATAACTTTAATATAATTGTACTATTTATTTACTATCTACATAATATAACTTTAATATAATTATACTATTTATTTACTATCTACATAATATAACTATAATATACATTTAATACAATTTGACTATAACTTAAATATACATTTAATATAACTTAACTGTAACTTTAATGACTTTACGATTTCTACAAGACCCGGTGATGATCTCCTTAATATACATCAACTTTATACATACGATCAACTTAATCTTATCATGAAAATGTGAAACCATATCGTGACCAAATCTTAGTTATGGGTCTACAATAAATTTTCGACTTAGTCACGATATGGTTTCGATTGTAAAAAGTTCTGCAATGAAGAGATCAGGACTGCAAATAAAATATAATTATTAAGAAAATTATATTTTGTTTTGTTAGTATTAATCAGTTAAAATTTTAATTAACCGGAAATGAAGATTGGTTATTGTCAGTTAATTATGATATGTATGATAAATACGAGACGCAAGAATATCACACTTTTCAATGTTACGCAATTCAAATTATTTATACAGGGTAATCTAAATATGACAATTTTTTAATTATCATAGATTTAGATTATTTGAAAAAAAATCTTTCGTAACTGTATTTTGATCATGTGACTTCTGACGAAAAATGAGATCTAAAATTAATTTAATTATACCTTTTATTAAGATAATTATTCATTAATAATTTTAATAAAAAAAATCTTATTAAAGAAATAATTTATTTATTGTGTTCTAATCGTTTAGTTTAAATTATTGAAAAATCTTAACTAATGTTGATCATTTTAGTACGACTCTAATGAAAAATATAAAGATTTCATACAATTATATAATTATGACTTTTGCTTATATTTAACAAAGAAAATGAAAAAAATAAATATTATTAAAAAATTTATAGTATTTAAAAATAATTAAAGAGTATAATAGGATAGATTTTTTCTTAATGAAAAAATTAATTTGATCTTACTGTATAAGCAAAAGGATTATTTTTAACCGTATAAAATACATGATTATGCTGATCATTTTTCTATAATATTAATAAGCATCGGATTACAAATTTTTTTAAAAAAAGAACTCATACTATCTTTTTAGTTTAGTTAAATTGGATAATAAAGATTATGATGTATTGAAAAAAAATCTCTTAATTATTTTTGGTATAATTGATCATTTTAGCTTAATTTTATGGCGAAAAAAATTATAGATTTTATTAAAAAATACAATAATAATAATAAATTACAATTGTTTTAGTTATTTCTTTTAACTAACTTATTAAAGATAGTTTAAAATCACTATCCCATAATTTTTACAAAAAAAAAAAAAATACTATATGGATGCCCTTTGCTCATGCCCTTTGCTCGGCGGGTGGTAGGGGTGAGTCAAAATGCTATGTATTGAACTGACCGAAATGTGCAATATATATATATATTTTATATATATATAAGTTTTGTCTCTGAGTGGTTTCCTTTTTAGGATGCCGATCCTCTATATTTAGTACTGATTTACTAATTGTTTACTAATTATGTAATATATTTTCTATTGTCTTACATTCGGACTTTTCCTTTTTTATAATAATTTAATCAACAAATCTTTTAGTGGTGTAACTAAGTATAATACTGCGCCCCACGATTAATAAATTCACTATGTAAGTTCAGACGCTACACCAGGTCCATCAATCTCCACTTCTAAAAGACTCCCGCTCCCAAAGACCCAGCTGACCCAGTCTATTTGAATTGTAATCCCCTGTCGCACTAAGTGTCACTTATGATCACCTTCATACTAATTTATAAAAATTGCGAGTGATTAGCTGAGTTTATAAATGACCGTGAATCTTCGTTTAGTTATTTCCCGGTCTCATATAGATAGCCGGGAAATTACTAATTTTAGTTTAAAATAGTTAAAATAGTTAATATTTAATGAGTGATACGCTCCAGGGGATTACCTGGGAAGGAAAACAATAGGGTTTTTTTTCCCTTCGGGAAAAAAGCCCTATTATTTCCAACTCCCCATGAATAAATAATACTAATTTAAAATTACATGAAATTTTATGGATTAGTTCAGAAATATGTGGAATTACATATATTCCCATATATATCCTACACGGATTCACATCGAATTTTGTGGATCTACGCCGAAAATACTACGTGTTTTGTCACAGAAATATTAGAACTATTCAGATTAAATTTCCTTATGTATACAAATTTTTTCATAAATATCACTTTAATAAATTTTCGGTATGTCAGCTAAATGCTTGGGCAAATTTGAGCGTTCAATTTCTTGAACTTTTATAACATACTTCTATTTCAAAAGGAATTGTGATATAATGTGAATTTTTGAAGCTTACAGAAATTGTTTTAATAATGAAATTGAAATTTTAAAAATTTCAATATTAGATATTCATTTTTTTCAGGCATGAAAAGATCTTCTATCTCTTTTCAAGTATCCTTTGTTCATTTATCAATTGTGTCGTTATATATTTCCTGTTTTTATCCATCTGAACGGCATAAATATTCATAAGAATCCATAAAAAATCCGTACAATTAAGAATAATTTGGAATTTAATATCTTTTAAAAGTCCTTGAGGGATTTTTTACATGTATAATTACAAAAAATTATAATTTTAAAATTTGCTGCATTAGGATCCTTAAAGGATCCTAAAATTGACAGAGAATCTTCCAAGATCTTTGAATTTTTAAGATCTTTTTTAACTTTGTTTAAAGATCCTGAGGGATTCTATAATTTAAAATTTTATCCTCAAGGATTTTATATAAATTACTTATTAATATTTATTATATAAATATAAAAGCCTAATACGTCACCTTTTAAAACTATTAAGATTAAATTAATAACTCAAATAAATTTTACAATTTAAAATACAAATATATATTTAAATAATAACACTTAGGTCTTGAATTTGATGATTAGCACTTAAAATTCGTAAAATCACATACTCTTTAATGTAAATTGTAAAGGTCTTTTCAACCTTAAAACCGAAGAGACTGGGCCAAAAAGATTATAAACTCTTATGGTCTAAATAATAGTTTTTAAAAGACTACAATATAGGAATATTTTTATTATTATGGCGACAGTAAGAAATTTTAAAATAATTATCCTCGACAAAATTTTGCGATCACGTGATTTTTTGCCCGCATTACGGGTGGGGATTCCATATTAAGTTTGTCCATCAGATTTGGGATTTGTCCGGGTTTGGCCATTTGGGCTGAGGTACCGTATAATGTATATACCGTATTTATCTCTTCCTGATTCAACATATTCCTCGAATCCTCGTTACATCTGGCGTGTGGTAAATACATGTTGCCAGATAATACAGTACCTCGAAGGAAGTAAGGAAGTAGCAACACGTACTATAACATATATAACCCATATTTTGTGTTTCTTTGAGGTTTTTCATTTTTGGGTTAGTTATTAGTTAGCTGAAAAGACGTATCTAGATATTACGAATCATTTGATTTCTAGATCTTTAGCTAATTTAGAGTAAAAATGCGTGGCTAAAAAAAAATCATATTTAATGACTGAATGAAATAAACACGTCCCTTTTATCAAAATAACTTCAATGTTTCAGAAATATACAAAAGTTTCTTCTAATAAATAAATCAGAATTGACCTTTATTTTACTAACTTATCGTTATAACCAATATAACGATTTTGTAAATAATACATTTTTTTTTCTTTAAAGAAAATTCAATTAATCAATTTCTACCAAAAGCACTATCATAAAAATCATTAATTAAATCATCATTATAAAAATCATTAATTAAATTATCATTATGATCATAATATTGAACTGTAAAATCATTAATCTTTGTTCCACCAAAAAGTTTTAATACGGCTATACCATGTTTAGGTACTTCACACGAATAACTAAATCATAGAAAGGATTTTTAATATTAATTTTTTTTTAAAAAAAATAAATGGATAAATAAAATAAGGTACATAAAATTACCTATTAACGTAAATTCCTTTATCTTCGTGTTCCCATAAATCTCTAACTAAAATTTCTCCTCGTATATTCACATGTTTAGCAAAATCCAATTTAATTGTAGTAGGTGATTCATCTTTGTTAAGTAATACTAAGAAAGAAAGTAATTTTATTCAAGTAAATATTTAAGTAAATGATTTTTGAAATAAATAAATATATGAATTATTCTTTTTTATTTGCAACAAGAATGAAAAAAACTTACGAGCTACATGACCATCGGATAATTTACCAACCCATATATCTAAATAACTTGTACTTTTCACGATATTTACTGATTTTCCCAACGGATCTTGCTATAATAAAAAATTTAAATAATTTTTAATAACTTTTTTTATCTTACATAATTAAAACTCCATTTAATACTTACGTTAATAGCAATAATTTCAGTATTTTTTACGATTTCCAAGGTATCATGAGATGGATTCCTAATCTATTAAAGAAAAAATTTCATTCATAAACTTATAACTATTATAAGATGAACTGAAAAAGATGGAAATTAATTCAAATACTTACATCAAAACCAAGTAAAAGAGGAGATTTTAGTGCGGCCCATAAAGAGAAATGACTTTTCTGTTCATCGACCGTTAATTTACCATTTCCAACTTGTAGCATATCAGGATCATTCCAACCACCTGGACCTGCGTATTTTGTTATTCTATGTTGTCTTTGTAATATACCTAAAATTGATGGCCATGTTGGATGGATATCCCCTGTTGTTCTCCAACTAATAAAAAAGAGGTACATTTAGATATGTGAAGAACGGGTGGAAAATAAAGAAAAAAATTGATAATGAGATACCTATTTCCAACTGAAGGTGCCCAAAGATATGGCGCGCTTCTCCTAAAAGAAATAATATAATAAATATCAAATTGGAAGCTAAAAGATCGCAGTTACGACAATAAATTTCATACCCCCATTCACAAATACTATAAAATATAGGTCTTCCAGTAGCTGATTAAAAAAAAAAAAGTAATTTATTATTGATGATATATTAATAATATAAACTAATGAATTAATAAATTTTGTACCATTAAGCGCATCACGCATAACCTAGATAAATTACTAGTTAATAATATAAACTAATATTTAACTCTTATAAATAAAATTCTTTACCTTATATCGATCTTCCTCTGGTTTACCATTATTATTACAATTATCGTATTTTAAATAATCAATTTCCCATGATGCAAATGTCTTTGCATCTTGTTCTTCGAATCCTACGAAAAAAAAAGATTGAAATGTGATAATCTTTAAGAAAAATTCATTTATTAAAGAACTTTATTGAAAGGAACATGTTGAAAATAGAAAGTTACCGAGACTTCCTGGTCGTCTAGCACATGTAAGATAACCTGCATCGCTATAAATTCCGAATAAAAGTCCTTTTGAATGGGCATAATCTGCTAAAGCTATAAAAATCAAATATATTATTAGACTAAATAATATTTAATTTTAAAAGAAACATTAAGAAATTTACCTTTAATACCGCTCGGGAAACTTTTAAAAATAAAGCAATAACTTGTAAGTACTAGTCATTAAATATTTTGGCGTTTATTAAAGTTGAACTAAACTCACGTGACGTTACTAGCATGAATGTATCCTTGTTCATCCCTTTTACCTTCCCAACAATCATCTATAATTAAGGAATTTTTAATTATATAATTAAAGTTATTTTCAATGATTTAATTATAAAATTTACCCATATTCAAATATTTATAACCGACTTCGTCTAATCCATATTTGATAAGAGCATCCGCAGTTTGCTTAATTAAATTCTCATTGATATTACAATGAAACTAAAAAAACGCCAAAGTTAATAAAAAAAAAAAAAATATTGATTTTTTTTCCAAACATTTATTCCGCAATAAAAATTACCCTATTCCAACTATTCCATCCCATTGGGGGAGTGCGACCGAGTCCATTATCTAATCCATTAATACCATTAATAACGTAAATTACGCAGAATAATGTAATAAACACTTGGAGGGAAAATTTTAATCCCATAATCATATTGATTAGTTGAATTCAGGAAAAAAAAAAAAATTTTTTCCCATGAGAAAATATTTTAACTTTAATTATTCGAATACTATAAAAAAAAACAAAAAAAACTTGTTTATGACCGATTTAGTAATAAATAATGATCGAAAATTTAAACTCTAACCATTATCAGATTTCGTAACACGTAAACCCTAAGGGGCTTGTACATTTAGCTATGTCATACATCCATCTCAAGGAATGTCCCAGGTTGACGGCGCAGTGTGGCGCAGTAATTCCAAAAAGATTTAAGTAAAGATTTTCATTTTAATGTAAAGCTTTCAAATTTACACATTAGATGTATTTTCATCTGTTTTACAAAATTCACTTATAAATGAAAGGAGTTTTTGGAAGTAGATTTTGACTTTAGTATATAACAACCGATTTTATCGTCTTTGCCGATCATTTCCAAAATTGGATTTGTCGAAAGAACAGTTTTTGTTAAATAACTCGAAAATGGCCTTCTAAACTACCTGTATATGCTCTAAGTAAATTTGCAGATCGGACGAAAATACACCTAATGCAGGAATTTAAAGGTTTTATTTTAAATTGCAATTTAATTTTTTTGGAAAAATCGCTGCGTCACACTGCGCCATAAACCTAGCACACATTTCAGACCGTAATTTTTAACGCATCTTGCCATGTAATCCAAGTAAAAAAATCAAAAAATTTATTTTTCATAAAAAAAAAAAAAAAAAAAATTTTATTAGTAATTATTATTATTATCGGTTTGTCTTTTCGAAATAAATTTGAAATATGAACCCTTTGGGTTTTTTGAAGAATGATAAATTATTCTTTTCGTTGGTATTTATTAATTGTAAAAAACATCTTTTAGGATTAAGTTTTAATCCGTAATTCCAATTTACATACTAGTGCCTAGTGGTATTGGACTACTTGCAATATCTCTCGAGCACTACATCGTTCAAGTGCTACATCATAATACTTGCGATGGCGGTGATTCTGTGCGACATACTGATTTCTGATTGTTATTATTTATTATTTCACAAGAAGTTTGGAACCTTGTTTTTCGTCGATCCTTACCTTATGTCTTTGTTACTTTATATCTTTTGTTATCTTATTGATTCCCGTAAAAGCTAAATGAAATTACTCTTTTAATACTATAAAAACAATCAATTACGCAGATTTTGATAATCATTATTTATCAATGTACGTAATCGATACCTTAGAAACTCCGATTACAAATTGTTTTGTACTTTATTTATTTCTCTTATTCTGAAACTTATATAAATAGACGCCCTATTTTCTTTCATAAATACTTATTTTCTTTTTTACGCAACAAAAAAAGAAAAATAAAAAAAATGAAATTCATTATGAAAATATTCCCAACTTTCTTATCAATAGCTTTTATAGCTTTCATCATATTAATTTCACCGGTTGTTACTTTCCAGACTGTTAAATCTGTTAATAATGCTGATCAAGATGATGAAATTCTAAAATCCATTGGTAAATGTGTTATTGCAAATGCTATCACTAGTACTTTATTAGAAATTGGATTTATTTCGCATACCATAGTTTGCTTAGTTACTGAGTTTATTGAGTTTCTTATTTTCGGGGAAGGAGGAGATTTTATTTCGGGTGTTGTGAAAGAAATTATATGTTCTATACTATTTGAACTTATTGTACATAGATTGCTCGGAATAAATTTCGGAGCATTTAGAGGGTTTATAGTGCGAATTATCAGAAGATTTCTGCACTAAAAAGTTATCAATTACATCAAATATACTAAAAATATATTCGAAATATTTACATCGAATTTTTTATTTATTTAAATTTTTTATAAAAAGGTATTTATATACTTGAATTAGCTTTTCTTTTCTTTTCTTTTCTTTTTCGTATAACTTTGTATCAACGTTTTTATAACATTTATTTATAACATTTATTTTATAACATTTATTTTATATGATTAATAAAATTGAAGCACAATCTTATTATTTTGTTTTTTCCTTTTAATTTTGAGCGACAATTTATGATATTTAAAAAAATGAGTGGAAACAGTATATCTTTTTGACGGGGACAGTCTATAATCCTGACACCAAAATCCCGATAAATGCAAATCCCGATTGAATCAAAATCCTGACAGTCACAGAAAATCCTGTCTGAGATTGAGGATAAGGAATCTAGTAAATATAAATATACTGTACATAATCCTTTTAACTAAGATGAAAAATTTTTTCTTTAATTTTCATTAATAATATAGTAAAATAAAAAAATTTACATTTGTATTAATAAAATTTACAAATTATATTTTAAGAAAAAATGTATTTGTAACAGCCTGTTACATATCTTATTTGTAACATCCTTTTTTTATTTTTTTTTAATAATAAATTTAATATGTGTTTCACAAATAAAATTTTTATATGCAAAATTTAATTTGGAAAACTTTTACTTAATGTATTTAAGACAGTTTCATAGACAAAATTTTAAGTTATAAGCAGTTTCTTGAAATTTTTTAAAAAATTCTTTTGTCTTAGTTACACGACTGATCTTTTGTTTTTGTTTACATTACGCCTGATCTTAAATTTTAATTGGATAAAATTGGGGGTTGTTACAAATAAGACGCGTAACAGGCTGTTACAATTAGATTTATCCATATTTTAATTATATTGAATAAATTAACCCGTTACTGCGTCACTGCATTTTTAAAATTATGGAAAATTTATATAATTTTTTTTTTTAAAAAAAAAACTTTGGGATTTTGACTATTTTTGACTATCAAGATTTTTAACTGTCAGAATTTGTGACTATCTGGATTTTATTTCAACGGGATTTTGGGTTTGTCAGGATCTTGGTGTCGGGATTGTAGACTGTCGATTTTATGGTTGTCGGGATTTGTGGTAAACCCGTCGATATTATGGGTGTCAGGATTTTGGTAAATCCGTCGATATTGTGGGGTCAGGATTTTGGTAAATCCGTCGATATTGTGGAGTCAGGATTTTGGTAAATCCGTCGATATTATGGTGTCAGGATTTTGGTAAATCCGTCGATATTATGGGTGTCGGGATTTTGGTAAACCCGTCGATATTATGGTGTCAGGATTTTGGTAAACCCGTCGATATTACTGGTGTCAGGATTTTTGGGTGATCCCATCTTTTTGTAAATCATTCGCTTAACATTTTAAAAGAATATAGATTGGAATATATAATATTAAGGAAGTAACTACTTATAAACCATTAGATAATGGAAACGACAAGATCGAAATCAGTACTGGTAGTACTGGTAGTTGCCAGCGATATCGTTATAGTCATCCACATCAATTAAATAATTTTAAAAAATTAAAAAATTACAACCATTTTAAAATCGAAATTTTAACTTATTTATATGTCTGAGTCGTTGATTTGTAATTTCGATTACGTGACAATGATTTTCAATGTTAAAATAGTTTTTTTTAATTATTTTCCTTATCTTCTCTATAATTGATTATACTTTAGAAATTTCTCGTCTTACATTCTTTTACGATTTTTACAAATAAGTAAATAGTAAATTTTAGCCTTTAATCCTTTTGCTTATTAATATTAGAGATTATTTTTTTTCATTACAATAAAAAATCAACTTCAAGCAAAAATACTTCTCAAAAAAACGATTAGTGATATGAACATGTTCAAGCTATAATCCACCAAGTTTAACTCATTAAGTTTAGTAACTGAATAATCCAAATCATGAGGTAATACTTGTGCTAATAATATTTACTTTCAAATGTATTAAAAAATAAAAGTATCTTTTAATTAAAAAAATCCAAATATTAATAATTTATTGTGCAGATACCTGCTGCAATATCGCCGGACTTTTGTCAAGGACGGCTTGCCATAATTAGGTCATTGACAATCATATCTTGATTAGATTTTACATTTTGGATAAAAAAAAATGAGAAATATAAAAATAAAAGGAAATGACTTTCCATTTTTGATCGTGCTGGTACTCCGGAGAGATTGTAGTACTTGTAGTAATTCTCTAAATGTGACATATTACGACAAATTAAAGGAAAGATTTCGGACTTCAAATCTTAGTAAAAATAAAAAAAGGAAATAGTTTTCCATTTTTAATCCACCTTTTTCTCTTTGCGTAAAAAAATTATATATTTTATCTATAAATATCCAAAATTTTTATCAAAAATTCATAAAATTTAAAAAGGCAAAATGACTTTTATTTTTGATTTACTTTGTAAATAATTTGATTTTTTAATTAAAAAAAATAGAATCAAATGAATTTTTTCCTTAATTAATAATTCAAACTTTTTTTTAAAAAAAAGTGATTAATCTTAAAAAGGAAATAATTTTTTTTATTTTAACCTAGTAAAAAAAGTTTTAATTGAAAAAAAAAGATAGTAATAAAAATATTTGAATAGGATATATCCGTATTAAATCCTAGGATATAAGCCATTAGGATCATTCACCGGATCTAAACTCTAACTCACATAAAATTACGGCAAAATTGAAATATAGTTACTCGGCTAGTCGGGTTATTAGAAAAGAAAATAACACGGGTATACCTGAATTAACATAATTGCATTATATAGTATATATAATTATACTTTATACTACGCCATCATATATATACTTTGCAGAAACTTTTAAAATCGAAACCATGTCGTAACTATATCAAAATTTTATCATAGAACTTATCATAAGATTTAATACCACATCGTGACCAAATCTTGATTATACTTATTTATAAGTTTATGCGGATCGTATGTATAAAGTTGATGCATATTAAGGAAATCGTCACCTGATTTAACCGGCTCGTGCAAAAATAATATTGAAATCGAAAACATATAGTAATTGTATATTTAAATTATATTAAATGCATGTTTAAGTTATAGTAAACAAATATTAAAATTGCAGTAAAGTTATAGTTTATTTATTTTAAAGTTGATGTATTATAAACTTTATTTAGAAATATTAAATTGTTCTATCCTAAATCTAAACATAGATAATAAATTTTTCTATAATGTTAAATGTCTTCTTAACTCTACTAATAACATTTTTTTCAAAATTTTCGAAACTTACTAGAATTCTAGTATTCCTATATTGGGAGCAATTCCTCTAAAAAAAAAAGATAAATAAAAAAACTAAATAAATAAAGGTTATTACGTATTAAAATGTTTTTTAAAAAGAAAGTCTTTGAAAGTATTCTGAAACACATCTCCGGGGTTCCGGTAACAAAGGTGGGGCTGATGTCTTATGAAAGAGATGAACAAAAATGTTATAAAAATATCTTTTTAAATTTAGTTTCATGAAACTCACATTTATCTTTCATAATTCCATTGTGAAGTTCTAAGATTTTCGCTTCTTGGTACTCATCTTTAATCTGATTTGATTTAATTCAACTCTCACGACGCCTTAAAAATCTCACCCTCCGTCTAGAAAAGTCACCTAAAACAAAAAGAATTAAATTCAAAAAAAAGTTATGCCTTACGGTGGTCTGATGATCTTTCTGAATCCAGTCATGTCAATTTTTAGCACAGTCATGTGAATTTGGGTCCGTCCAGTGATTCGCTTAATGTCCGATTGCTTGATCTACACGATTTTTTTTTTTGCTTTATAATGAGAGTTATTATAAAATTTTTTTTACTGTTAAATATTTAATGAGATAATGGTTTTAGTAGATGATCAATATAGTATAGTAAGTGTTTTATAGTATATCGTGAGTATAAATATAGTATATTTTATTCGTTTTAAAAGATTATAAAAAAAACAATTAAATTTTAAAAAGCTTCAGAACTATTACACTTGAAAAATAATATTGAGATTACAAATAAATTAAAAGAAATGCAAATCTTTCTGAATTACTCAATTTTCAAATCATTCCATTATAGTATAATCAATAGTTAATTTTTACTACAAAATTTCCTAGAAACGGACATATAAAATTTGCTACCTAGTAGGTACTGTATAACTACATTTGCATAATCGTGTAAATGGTACCAATCAGGGGATAATAATAATTATAATAATTACAAAAATAAATAATAAATTAAAATAAAATAAATAAAGCAAAAATATCGGTACCATTTAGTTTCTACTTGACATAACCTCGATAGTGTACATTTTCAAAAGCACAAGAAAGAGTAATTCCGGTGTCTAAACATGACCAATATATTGTAATCCAAATATCGAACCAAGTTCCTCTTGGAGGTGTTGGTAAATCAAATTCCTTTTCGAATGTGTAATTCACAGGTATATTTTCGCAACGATCACAATAACAATTATTAACCCATTCAGGTTTATGAAGAAATCTATACCCACCGCCATTATCAATGTGCATAGTAAAGTGGCCTATTGCTGATACTCCCAAATTGTTATGCAGATCAGGAGATTGAACTGTCATATCAAGTACAGAATTTGGTAACAAATTGGCCCTTATAACCTGAGCACCACATGCTGAAAAAAAAAATTGTCACTTTTTTTACCAGAAGAATTATGAACAATAGTAAATTAGAAAATTAACATACTATAAACTGAACGATTATGACACGGGCTGCCATCAGGATCACAACCATGAATTTTTTTAATATATATAATGAAAAAAAATACAAGTAAAATAATGAAGTATGTTTTATTCATGATTTTAATAATTCAAATGGTTGTGTGTACATTATTTATATTTCTTTCCCAAAAATATCTTTTCTTATAAAGGAATAATGCGTGTGACGTTCTTGCACAGATCATAAATAATTGTACGGTTCACACATGATTAGTACGTATGATTTAAATAATTCCCAATAAAGCGCATTTATTTAGAAATTGGTGATGACCTTTTTTTTGTATTTATCATATGAAGTGATCGAGGTATATCTTTACTATTGATTTTATTCAAAAAAATATGCTAATCACTTATTTAGTTAGATTATATAATGATAAACAAAGTCTATTATATATGCTTCGTTTTTATTGGACGATTATCATATGACACAGCATGTATCGGCGAGCACGTATCAAACTTTTTGTATTATTTATTAGCTTGGAGATAAGAATGCCGAAAAGCCTGTGTAATGTGTCTAGCTTTAATCGTAGCATTATTTTAATAAATTTTTTGATCGTATAACCATGAAATTCAATATATGGTTAGTTTGATGCCCAAATATAGCTTAAACTTTTCCAGCATTTTTATATTAAGCTTGAAGTATTGGATCCGCAGTTAGCTTCTCTACGGATGGCAGGTTAATATATATATATTTTTTTTTTTAAGAAAATTTTTTAACGAATGGAGAGG